CCGAAACTTTCCCGCGTTAGTTACATGTAAAACTAGTAAATTTGTGACAAAAGAAACTTCGTTATTATTGCCGCAGACTCCGTGGCACTTACTGAAACCTCCAATTAATTTCATCAGTCCATGAGGCGACTCGCTCACCGATGTGGGATATAATTTCGGTCAAGTAAAGATCTCTACCTTCAATACTTCTTGTTGAAATGCTCCTCAATGCTATTACTCGATAGCATTGTGTATTAGTACACCAACTCAGCTGGCAACAGAATTAGAACGCACTATTCCACGATTCAACATGGCTATTTGATAATTAGATTAGTTCTTGTTTATAAGTGAAATGAAAATTTACGTTTTGAATAAAACAAAATCATTCCTCTTCAACTTTTCAGCAGAAATTTAACTTTATATTCCATTTATCTTCAGCAGTGAGTTAAAAATACACATCTTTCATATAGTTTTGTTGAAACAAAGGCATCTTGTTGCATACATTGGCCAGGAAAACAAAAGTATCAAATTACAAACGTTGGTGTGAAAAGTAATGCTACAAAATAAACGAAACTCAACATAAAATACCACAATGAATTTAAAACCATCTTGACAAACGGTAATTGTAAGTTATTTTTGGGCAAAACACAAACATGAAACACACACACTTCTAAGATTATGTCTTATCAAGTTTTTGTCTTCTCATATTCTGCAATGGGGAAAAGGCCTAGTTGACTACCAAGGGAGAGAACAGCAGGGGTGAGGACCTGTGTGACCACTGTACCAGAGCCGTAAATTACACTCTGCACTATCTGAGATTGTCTCACTAGTTACAAAACAGTTTCTTTTTTCTTGACACAAGCATGAAATTAGGAATTTTGTTTTTATTTACATGAAAGAGTCTTATTCAGAATTTTAATCGGAGCATGTTGAAATGAAGGAAATCACTGTGAAACTACTAAATAAAAATAATTATTAACTTACTTTCAGGAACATGACTTACAGAAAAACAATAAGATATCACTTCACTATTCAATATCAATAATTTCGATGGCATTGAAAACAGCAGAGGCTGATTAGGGTCCTTTAAGCTAAAGGACATGAAATGCTATTCCATGCATTCCACTAGTGAGACTAACTTACTGATCTACAGATTGAAATGGATGGCACCCTGTTACATGTGATTATCACAATGGGACTATCTACATGTAGTCAGATACAGATTAAAGTGATGTTAAGTCATCTAAACTAACCAAGTTTAACCAGCCTTTCTGCAGGGCCAATGTGTTTGATTGGAGTGAGATAGAGATCCCTGTTTTTGTCAATAACTGCCAGTTGTCTGTCGCTGGTTGGACCACACTGGCTAAGGGCAATCTCCATCACTTCAAGCTAGAACCAGAAAAAGTATAATCAGATTAGGACAAGTTAAGCTGGAGAAACTCAACACAAAGAAATACATGTAAGCATTCTTCCTCCACTCAACAGAGATTTGAATTGAGATTCAACCAGGAAAATTCTTTACTTGAACAGGTCTACAGACATTGAGATGTAATTTGAAGTATCTGTGGTTGGTTGGGGCTCTGTCGAAAACCGCAAACCATAACTCTAAGAAGCTCCTAACAACAATCTCTTAGTCAGAGGAGTATAGCACCAGTTGGACTTAAATGGCAGATTCTCTTGAATGAACAAAGAATGACATGCATGTGAATCTACATGTACAGGGATATGAACATTACCCTGTTTGATAAAACCCTTGAAGGGTATTTATAGAATTAAATACTTACAGAATGCTGTATTGGTTGTCCACTACCCACTGGCTTTCCTGATTGAGCTTCAAATAAATGGATCACTGAAACAAAATAAATAAAACAATGCTGACTCTGAGAGCACCATTTAATCATTTGCATACAAATGTTAAAAATAATTTTGTACTCAGTTATTTGTACACATGACAAAACAAGCACATTACATGGAGATTTGCTCCATAACCCACTCAGGGCTCGAAAAAAAAAAAAAATTGACTTCTATCTAGCCCTTTCACACTGGACAAACAGCTCTCAATTTTTGTTTGCCCTGGGCAACTCTTAGTTTACTTTTTTCATTTAGTTAGCAGATGACTTGACTGATCCCTTGCCCCTTGGGCAAGCAAGACTGAAAAGTTACTTACCCAGCAGGAAAATCTACTTGTCCAGGATGACCAAACGGCACATTTTTTCGAGCTCTGAACCATTCAATTTTGTTGATCACTTTCGACAGAAAAACTAACATAAAACTCCACTTCATATTATTATCATCGTTAAGAATTAATATATAAATTTGTTTACAATACCTTTCTCATCTTTCCGATCTTTGATTGCCAAGGTGTCATTACTCAATGTACAAGTCTGTTCATTCAGAATGTCTGTTCTTAAACCCTGGTACTTTGGAACACATGTTAAACGACCCTGATGCAAAGATGACAGAATAAGAAAATATCAAAAGTTTGCTTGCTATAAATTTGATCATTAAGCTAGAGTACATTGTAACAAACCAAGGTTAGTTCACTGTGTACATGAAGAAGGACAAAATTCATAGGGTTCAAAAAGAAAAGTATTGAAAATCAAACCCTCAGCTCTAGGAAGAAAAGATATAATTAACAAAGAAATCACAAAGAAAGGAGACGAAATGAATACTTTTATTACAGATTATGCATTCAAAGGATAGCTGAATTTGCTTGCCCTTGTCCTGACATCAGGCCTACAAACACCATAAGCTTTCTTGTTACAATGACACCAAAATATAAGGAATACCAGTAACAAATACATGTAGGCCCAGCGGGACTCCCACATGAAAAGGTTGCCCATTAGGGACGCTCATCGGAAAATATTTGAATCAAACCCCTAGAGGAGACTAATCAGGGCATGGCTCTAACTCTATTAAACCCCTAAAAGATACCTCTTAAAACAAAATAGGCTTAATTTTATTACCGGCCACTGCTCAGGAAAGGAGCCCAAGCCAGTAGACCGGACTCAAGAGAACA